ATTACACTTGTACTGAGCCTCTTTTGGGGGTTCTACAGAGTTCTGTGAGTGTACTTGACATTTTTTGGCATGACATAAAGATCACATAGCCCTGCTTGAGTTAAAATTTTGCTTGAGTTAAAATTTCAATTTCAATACAAGTACAGGCTAACAGAGGGAAAACACCTGACTATAAGTCTCTAGCTACAACATTTTGAATATATCTATATATATTCATATATATATAGATATACATATATATGGACAGAGAGAGAGAGAGAGAGAGAGAGAGAGAGACAGGTTGCATACCTGTAAGAGTATTTCTTCGAGTAGTCATCTGAGAATTCACACAAATGAGTTATATCTGTACATGTGCAGTAACTTCAGAAACTTCTAGAATCACCGGGTAGAATTTTAATTGCAATTTTTGGCAGTAGCTCTGCCAACCCCATAAAGCCCCTAGAATATCCGCAATTTTCTCAGTTCCATAAAGTTCGCCACCAAAGCAGTATATGAAGAACATGCTAAGTGAGCAGGACACAACTGAGGGGAGGATGGGCAGGATTGTGTGAATTCACAGATGACCCTCAAAAAAATACTGTTACAGGTATGCAACCTGTCCTCCTTCTTCGTGGTCTCTGCAAATCACACAAATGGGTTAGACTGACAAGCTTTGGTGAGTGGAGGAGGGAGTGTTCTGACACCAATTTGAAAGTTGAAACAAGTTGTGATTTATTAACAACAATAAACTTTAAATCTTAAAAGTGCATTTGTCAGTGTCATTTCTTTGGTTTAAATCAGCGGTTCTCAAATAGTGGGGCGGGCCCCGCAGGGGGGGCACGAGGCTCCGTAAAGGGGGCCCCGTTACGGCTGGAGAGAGGGAGATTGTCCCAGCGCAGCCCCAGTAGCAGCCCGACGTGCTCTATCCTGATTGGTCAAACCCACCCATGTGATTATTTACAGTTGCGCGGGGGGCGCGAAATGTTTTCTTCTTTCCTAGGGGGGGCGTGAGAGAAAATAATGGAGAAGCACTGGTTTAAATGCACATAAATCATGTAATGCAATAACCTTTAGTGCAAACTAGAAAGCAACACTGCCCTCCCAAAGGCTGCATCCTGACTGGCCTTGTGTCCAGCTTGTAGTGTTTAATGAAAGTCAATGGCTGGGACCAGACAGCAGCCTTGCAGAGGCAAAGGCAGCTACCACCCTAGTTGAGTGTGTTTGCACCCAGGCCAGAGGATTTCTACCTGACAGTTCGTAGCACAGGTGGATGGTACCAGCCACCCACTTGGAAAACCTCTGAGCAGTCACAGGTAGTCTTTTCTTAGCCTCTAAGTAGCAAACAAGTAGTCTCTCGAAGCATCTGGAACCTGATGTTCTGTCCAAATAAAAGGTGAGTGCCCTTTAGACACCAAGAGTATGTAGATGGCACTCGGTATCAGTGGTTGGGTTTGGGGCCAAGGTGGGTAGCACAATGTCCTGATTGATTTGGAAGGCTGACACCACTTTCGGGAGGGCCAGTGGGTAAGAGACTCAATGGCTCGGACCCGAGCATGTTCAGTCTCAATAAAGGATGAAACCTGAGGGGTCAGGACAGGGACTTCCTCTCGGAGTTCACCTTCAGATCTGGAGTCAATGACCAGCTGTGGTTCCTCCACCACCACCAGCGGTATTTGAGAGCCTGATGGAACAGATGAGCCCAAGGCTGCAGCCACTGGAGGGGGTCTTAGGCTTGGAAACAGGCTTCTCAGTTTCTTTCCATCTCGATCCGTCCCCCAAAAGGGAACAAGCCTTCTTGTGGGCCATTTCAGCAGATCTACCTTGCTCAGTAGAATGCCTCTTCTTGGAGGTTTTCTTAGCCTTATGTTCCTCTGGAGAGTGACTCCTCTCTGTTCTAGCCTTTTTGAGGCCTCTCTTCTTTTCCTTCTCAACCTCACTCTCAGATCTGGATGTCCTCCTATGAGAGTCGGCCTTCTCCTTGCCTGCCTCCTTTTCTTTTTGCTTATCGGAAGCTGGAGTACTCCTGTGAGCCAGAGTCGAAGCAGGCCTCAAAGCTTGCTTGTAGAGAGCAGCCTTCAGTCTCTTGTCCCTCTTGTCAAGTCTTGGGCAGTCATGGATCTACAGAGGGCACAAGTGTGAGGATTGTGCCTCTCACCTAGGCACAGTAGGCAAGCGGAATGGGGGTCCGAACTGGAATTTTACCCCTGCACTTCCCTCATTGTTTGAAGGAACAGCACTACATTTTCCAAAGCAGAGTGAGTTGAATCCAAATGAACTGGTCAAACAATCTGAGGTCAAAATCAATCTGTTAGGTCAGAAATGCCAGTGGAAGAGCGACTCCAACGGAGCACAGTTCCTTTGAAGTTGCTAGTGCTGCAGATGAAAGGAACTGAGATAAGAGCGGGAACTCTAGGGGCTTTATAGGGGTGGGCAGAGCTACCACCCAAAAGTTGCAATTAAAGTTCTGCCTAGCGATTCCAGAAGTTTCTGAAGTTGCTGCGCATATGCAGATATAATCCATTTGTGTGATTTGCAGAGACCAATAACTTGATATATGGGGGGTGCTTCACACAATTCTACAAGAACAATCAGAATGCTTCTATGAGGTAGACCTGAGTGTCTCACACTTCTGACAATTATTCAAGACTTTGTGGAAGTAAGACGTCTAACTTTTATAGGCTAGTGCTTTTATCTTTCTCACGTTGTACTGCTATGTTTCTGCAGGGACCTATCATTTTAAGATCATATCTTCATTTATAACAAAAATATTTACATCATTTAGGATTCAATTGGGCCAAGGGACATAGAAGATCAGGCCTTGAACCTATTCAAAAATACTAGGACTGAATTCTGGAGCAATAAGAAAGATAGTCATCAATCTGTGAAACCAATTATAGCCAACTTCAGGCATTTGGGGATTAGAGAGTGAAGGGCTTGCTGCTAAGATGGTATGACTTTCAGTTTCTTTATGAAAGGGCCATCAGGCCCTAGGACAGCCAAAGAATAGTGAACTATCAATGGATTCTTCTACAATGCCAAAAAGAAAAGGGGTGTCTTCTCTACCTTTGATAGCTAGCAAACACTTAAAATATTAGTAATGTGCAAAACACTGGTTTCTTTTAAGAATTGCTTCATTACTTTGAAAGATCAATTCTTAATAAATTAATCAATCTGTAATGATTTATAAATTTATTTATTTATTTGATTTATATCCCACCCAAGGCGACTCACAAATAAAAATTCTAAAAAAACAGTTAAAATCTCATCTAAAAACAATATAAAATTACAAACATTAAAACCACAGTAAAACCATGATACCCACCCTATATAACAAATATGCAAGCCACCCCATGATTATACATTAAAAGCCTGCTTGAATAAAGCTGTTTTTGCTTGCAAGGAAAGGCAAGCAAAGAGGGGGCCAGCCATGCTTCTCGTGGAAGGGCATTCCAGAGGGCAGGAGCAGCCACCGAGAAGGCTCTCTCTCGTGTCCTTATCAAGCGAGCCTCTGATGGTGGTGGGACCAAGAGAAAGCCTTCTCCTGAATCTCTTAGGGGTCTATCTGGTTCATATAGGGAGATATGGTCTCTCAAATAATCTGGATCTAAGCCGTGTAGAGCTGTTATGATACATATCATATCATGATACAATTATACATCTTGACACATAATAACACATGTAACTCATTGGTACATCTGAAATATGAACAAATGCAAGGCAACAAGATTATGATCTTAAAGACATAAACAACTAGCTCAGCATATTCAACTGTCTCGTATAATCCTATGGAAATCAATAGAACACGGGAAAACCATGTAGATATCTACCATTGCATAGTTTTTAAGAGATCAGTTAACATAATGTAATCAATATCTGAGCTTAATCATTCCTGTTTGTTCTCTAGATCTAGTACCTTAAAAGTTTTCATGGCCAATGTCAAAAAAATATAATGATATATTTTACTAAGGAATCTTTTCTTGTCTCAGTGTAATAAGAAAACTTGAGTTGATCTCAAAATTAGGTTCCAGAAAAACAAACAAACCAGTTTTCAGCTGTTTTGTGTATGAGAAATAAACAATAAATAAATTGCAGCAGTTATTTTATTGTAGAGTATTACTACATAATGTGGCAAAGTTGAAACATTCTTTGTTCTTATGAAATTTTAGAATTTTAGAATTCAATATTACCTGGATGTTAAAAATACATGCTATCCTAATTGCACATCGTATACCTTCCAGGCATAGAGAAGCAACTTCTGTGTCATCACAATCTTGTAAACCCACACTGAAGGCAGCTAAGAATGGTGTCCATGCTAACTGGAATACAAAATTAATACAAACAGTAGAACACATTTAATTAATATTCATTACAGGTAGATGTGAGTTGAATCATAAAGTCAAGTTAATACAAAGTTCACTTTAAGTTCAGTGCAGATAACTGTGAACTCCGTCTCAAAATAAAGTATGGACAGACAGGACCAACACATTTATTTATTTGGTTTCTTTGATTTATATTCCACCTTTCTTCCAAGTAATTCAAGGAGGCATGCATGAGGCTGTAAATATGAAGCTAATAAAAATAAAAGCTGTAATGTCATCCATTTAAAAAGCAGGAAACTTGTTTTTAAAATGAGTTTAACATATATAATATTTCCTTACATACATGGAACCTGTAGTAATAGTATGAAAAAGAAAAAATATATAACAAGCCATACCTTGAACATAGGTCTTACATGTTCCAAGTGTGTTGCACTTGTGAAAGGAGCTTGAACATGGCTCACTGCTTCCATCAAAGCTTTAGCCGTTTTAGCCATCTGCTCCATTTCTAAATTATAAAGAAGTCGTCTTTGCTTTTCACTAGCCACACCTATAAACAAATGTTTTTTTAATTTAAATTTTTTTTACCACCCATACTGCAAAGGAAAAACAAAACAATTTAAGTCATTTTAATAGATTACATACTAATGCATCATATATAAGGACAATATTTTGAAACCAATATTATTGAAAGTTGTCTATACAGCCAGCATGGCATAGTGGTTTGAGCACTGAACTACAACTCCGGTGACCAGGATTTGATTCCCAGCTTGGTCATGAAACCCACTGGGTGACCTTGGGGAAGTCACGTGCTCCCAGTCTCAGGGGAAGGCAATAGCAAATCTCCTCTGAACAAATCTTGGCAAGAAAATCTCATGATAGGTTGCCTTAGGGTCGACTATCATGGGGTTTTCATGGCAAGATTTGTTCAGAGCATTGCCTTTGCTTTCCTCTGAGGCTAAGAGAGTGTGACTTGCCCTTGGTCACCCAGGGAGTTCCATAGAAGAGTAGGGATTCAAATCCTTGTTTCCAGAGTCTTCAATGATCAAACCACTACACCTTAATGGTTCTCCATGAATTTCTCTAATCCTCCTTTAAAGATATCCAATTTGGATACAGCAATTAATTCCAATCTAACTATGCACTATGTGGAGAAGTACTTCCTTTTAGCTATTCTGAATCTTTCACTATTCAGTGTCAGTGGATGACCCAGGTTCATCCACTGAGAGAGGGAAAGAAAGCATCTCCTATTTTCTTTTTCTACACCATGAATAATTTTAGACACCTCTTAAAATTTCTTCTTTTACTCTTCACTTTTACATTGTCAGCGTGGTTACGCAGCATGTGATGATCCACGTCAATGTGCAGCACCAGGATCACGATCTTCTCAGA